AAGGGGAAGGTAAAAAGTGTTTTTTGACCAAACTTATCCAAATTTCCTAAATGTTATCAACATATCCATAAACAAGTAAACTACAACAGTTTTCCATAAGAATAACATGGACATTTTAAACTTACACTTTTTTTCAATTTTCTCTGTAATATTTAGGCATACAACAGAGCTATGCAAATACACAAAATATCTAACATAAATTAAAGACTGGGACGGGTGGCGTCGTCCTGTAATCCAGCTACTAGGAGGTCACGAATTGTGGATAATTATTATAGGAATGCACTGTGGATGCAATGCTCCCTGGTGTGGATTAACATCCGCACTAATGAGTACTACGACTATCCGCAATGCTATCCTAATAATTTGTTAATTACGGGGAAAAAATGTGGTTCGGATTCCACAATAAACTGTAGGTCCCTTAGTTGCCATTAGCTGTATGGGCTATTAATTAACAGCTGTGTCTAAGGAACATATCGGCCTTAGTCACTAACAAGACTATAAGATCGCGCCACTCATCCTACACTCATCCTTCACTCATATTTGGGTTAAAATACGCACATATAGTCCAGTCAATGAAGGCTCAAAAGAGGGGTGTAGAGGACATGGAGAGGGGGAAATTTTTTTTCTGCGGGAATGTGTTCGGGGTAGTTAGAAGGTAAAAATACCAAAAGTCCCCGCCCCTGGCCCTGCTGCTTCAGCGGGGGGAGGGGGGGAAAGACCCCATTTTTTAGTTTTTTACTTCTACACTGAAAACCGTGCATCGTACGGAAAAAATGTAAATTATAAAAAGAAAGATGATAAAATTCTCTACAAGAATGGTCATATTCATTTCTTATGTATATGCATTAGTTTTAAAGATATTTTCAAAATAAGATAAAAATTATTTTCTAAATTGATTTTTCAGAGGTTTTTTTTCAAATAAATTCATATAATCGATTAGCCTGCTGTTGTTTTACACTAATAAGGATAGAAAACAGGTTTTGGAGCACAAACCTATATAATATAATATATCCATCGTATATATTGTGTTAAAAATAGTTTTTATAAATTTAAAAAAGTTTTGTATATTTGTCATGGAAACAAGTAATTTTGGCATAATTATTACACTAAAAATGAAAACTATTATGTTTGCAGCTACATTTGTCCAGGTTTATTTATAACAACTACCGAAACCAAGACTTTTAATACTATTGTTCGTGATCTGACTCACTTGGGACGAGAGGGTCCGACTTCTGTCCCAAAAACAGGTGCCATCTGGAACTGGAACTGAGAACCACCATCTAGGACATCTCCATCATTCAATTCTTGTTGATTAGACTCAATATTGGCTATCAAAGTGATAATGCGGTGTAGGCCTATATATTCTTCATCCTCTCCATTCATCAGAATGGGCATTCCATGTATAAAGTTCCCTTAGCAGTTCTGGCATAACGGGAAACAATTGGACATTTTCTTGCATGCACAAATTTCGCATGTGACACTGTTAGTTTTAAGAGATTAACTGTTCCTGGTTACTATAATTTCGGTGTCGCTGTTCAAATGAATACTTACTGACCAGTGGCGGTCCCTGGTGTGGGGGGGGGGGGGGTGTATCCTCTCCAAAATATTTTATAACCTAACATAAATACTAGTAGCTTGAAGATATTTTAGAGCTGAAATACTATAAAACTATACGTTATTATGCTTTAACTTCCAAATTAAATGCTGGGACCGCCACTGCTACTGACTTTTTCCAATCTGTAGCGTCTTTCTTGGTCTACCATATTCGTGCTGTTTTTTTTATTGCTATGGTATTGAACAGAGCAGCCTTTTTGGTCTTTATCATACTACTCTCAATAAATAAATGGAAACGGAGCAAGTTCGGAGCAAGTTCAAATCGTAACAATCCTTTAAATCTTGATAACTTTTTTTAACTTATACAAATCCTTTGAAACAGAATTAAAGGTTTTGCTACAACATTTTAATCATTGCAATATCAATGGTTGAACTCACAGAAGACAAAGGGAGAGCCATATTTTCCCGTGACAGCTTGTTGTCCGAAAATGATTACCATTTGATTAATTACTTGCTGACCACATAATAGAGCATCGTAACAGTTAACAGATTCATCTCCTACAACCCCAGATGCTATTGACATAATGTCTTGAGTTTCAGGGAAGAGTGGGTAATTTTAAAACATTGCTGTCAGTTTAGAAATATATGACATTTCATCATTTGTATCATTTCATCAAGGACAACTCTGTTTGGAAAACCAACTACCAACTACCCTCAAAAATGTGGGGCTGGGAGCGCAAAAAGGTAATCTGTTCCCATTTTTAACCAACGAACCACCTAACCCACGAGAAATGTTGAGAATGTTTTTTTGCAAATATACTAAAGATTGTAGCAATAAAAGATGTGCATGCAATGAAATGTCCATTAATTGTTCCTCGTTGGCCGTTATGCCAGAACTGCTAAGGGAACTTTTTACATGGAATACCCATTCTGATGAATGAGGAAGATGAAGAATATATAGGCCTACACCGCATTATCACTTCGATAGCCAATATTGAGTCTTATCAACAAGAATTGAATGATGGAGATGTCCTAGATGGTGGTTCTCAGTTCCAGTTCCAGATGGCACCTGTTTTTGGGACAGAAGTCGGACCCTCTCGTCCCAAGTGAGTCAGATCACGAACAATAGTATTAAAAGTCTTGGTTTCGGTAGTTGTTATAAATAAACCTGGACAAATGTAGCTGCAAACATAATAGTTTTCATTTTTAGTGTAATAATTATGCTAAAATTACTTGTTTCCATGACAAATATACAAAACTTTTTTAAATTTATAAAAACTATTTTTAACACAATATATACGATGGATATATTATATTATATAGGTTTGTGCTCCAAAACCTGTTTTCTATCCTTATTAGTGTAAAACAACGGCAGGCTTATAGATTATATGAATTTATTTAAAAAGAAAACCTCTGAAAAATCAATTTAGAAAATAATTTTTATCTTATTTTGAAAATATCTTTAAAACTAATGCATATACATAAGAAATGAATATGACCATTCTTGTAGAGAATTTTATCATCTTTCTTTTTATAATTTACATTTTTTCCGTACGATGCACGGTTTTCAGTGTAGAAGTAAAAAACTAAAAAATGGGGTCTTTCCCCCCCTCCCCCCGCTGAAGCAGCAGGGCCAGGGGCGGGGACTTTTGGTATTTTTACCTTCTAACTACCCCGAACACATTCCCGCAGAAAAAAAATTTCCCCCTCTCCATGTCCTCTACAATCCCTTTATTGACTGGACTAATAGTGGCGTCCCCATCTTAAATAATTGATATTGATATTGATATAGCTTCAATATACTAAATTATTTTTTTTTAAGCTCTACAAAACGGTTTGGAAAGAAATTGCAAAATTTTCTGTTTTTAGGGTCAAAAATGAGGAAAATTAATTTTAACCCCATAAAACCCCCCATAAACCCCTTTCCTATGGTCCGATCATGCTGGTTTGTGAAGTTGTTCAAATAAATGTTGCTTTACATGCTTATACCAATTTTCAACAAAATCGGATCATTTTTGCTCGAGTTATCGCGCTAACGGACACATAAATATCTATTCTATATATAATTCAGTTTTAAAAATCTTTGTACAACTGAATCTAGAGTTCTACTGGACCGATTTTATTAATTAATGGGTCGTTGAAAAGCTTAGGTCGTGTAGATTTGCAAATAATTATGAAAGTTTGTTTTTGTTATGATTTATGGTGAAAAATAAAAAAAAACATGTTTTCCTTAACCCCCCGAGTGTTATGTGTCGAAAAATCGACACATAACACACTTTGTGTAGTATTTTGTGTCAATTTTTCGACACACAAACACTGTTTACGGCGAAGCACTGTTGTGCGTATTTGTAAACAGCTTGGTTAACCTCGCACCGATGACTGATGTGTTTTATTACGTTTATCATTGTTTTAGTGTAAAAAATCAAAAGTGATATACGTGGCGCATTATAAGAAGATTTAAATGATTTTGAAGGGCTGGTTGATGATCCTGAAGAAGTAGGTAGTGATATTGATGTAAATTATCAGTATGCTGTCATTTCAACACTATTTCGAGCCATCTTTGAACTAAGCAAAGCAAATATAAATTGTCATTACAGACGTCATTATCACTGCACGATAAGTAGACCTAAATACGATTATCATAAAATTTGACTACACTATCAAAAATTCCAAATACTAATATTGTATGTACTTTGCTTTGGTTAAAGTGTAGCAAATTCCCTAATTCAATTCTGAATTTTTGTGTGTATGTCTGTTGGTTAATGTCCTTATTTCTCAGTGTTTCATGGAAAAGACAAGAGCACCTTTGTTAATGAAAATTTGAACCAGAATAAAGTGAGCAATGGTGAGGTTGAAGTAGTATTTTAGCTACTTTTAACCAGTGTAAAAAGCAACTTTCAACTATCAATTACCTTAGGGCTATGCCTCATAGATCTATATAACATTTTTTTATCATTGGATATAAAATATGGACTAACAAGATCGGGTGACATTTAATTGCAAAGCATTCCTTTTGGCTTGAAACTGTCGGATAATGTATTTACGAAGGTTTATATGTATTCCTATATGGTAACAGTTTTGCCAGCACATTTGGAAAAATGCACACTAAATATGCAAACCAACTCCTGTTCTGAATATAAGAAGGTTTCAACTTATTAAAAGATCCCCGTACATAGAACGGACTTACAACTAGTTCACTATAAATAGGGAGCACTTGGAATCGTGATTTTTGTTTTGTTTTAAATTATCTTTGAATAACAATACATTTTAGTAAAGGAGTTCTGATCAGAAAGAATCATATTTTTTTAACTAATACTAATAGTAGCCTAATTGGAATTAAAATAACTTGGAATTATGGAATGATCCCGTAAAGTCACCTACTAATATAACTAAACTCTTTAAGTAATCTGTATAAATATCAAAATAAAATAGCTGATCGCTTACAGGAAGTGCACCCTAACTCCCCGGCGGAGGCTGCTGGCCTGCATGCATTCTCAGACTACATCATTGGAGCTGACTCAGTACTCCATGAGAGTGAAGACCTGTTCACACTGATCGAGGCACACGAGGGCCGAGCGCTCAAACTGTATGTCTACAACACTGAGATGGACACTTGCAGGGAGGTGGCTATCACACCCAACTCTGGCTGGGGAGGGGAGGGCAGGTCAGTGATACCATCTATATCAGACATCAGTGTACCCTCTTGTATAAAATGGTGATATAGGGTATTCCATGTGTAAAGTATGGTAAACAGTACCAGACATCTGACACACACTTTCTCCCATTAGCGTGTTAACAACCTTTATCATGGGTAAGCGATGAGAGTAACTATGATATTTTATAGTAAAAATCACAAAAGTTGCAATAACTTTTGAACCGTAATTTTTACAGTATAATTATAAGGATCATAACATGGAAATTTTAATAAAAACCGTCTTATTTTTTTTAACTCGATTTTTTCTTATAAGAAAATAACATAAGTTACAATTAGCTTTTGAACAGTAAAAACTGGAGTTATTATGCCATTTTTTTTTTTTCAGAATTTATGGGCTACAACATAGGCTACTAAAACTAAATCAAAATCGTTTGGGCCATTTTTTAAAAATTAGATTTTTCTATTAGTTTATGGGTTTTTATGGAAAAATCACCATTTTAAATCAATATTTCAAAAAAATTTAAAAAAACTAGAGCTAGCCTACCATTAGTACCTACATGCCAAATTTCATCAAAATCGGACCACAGGCTCCTTACACATTCACACACCCATACACACACAGGCATTACTTCGGGGGGACCCAAAACGGATACATCCACTCAAAACAGTCAAAACTCAAACTGGAAAAAATTTATGAAAAAAATACTTTCTCCATATACATGGTATAGGAGGAGAAAGTAAAAAGAGTTTCTGCAGCTGCAGTAAAATTCCAAATAAATGACATCAGAAACGCTTCTAACTTTTTGCTATTTTTCTACTATAGGTATTCTAATTTTAACCATACCGAAGTCAGAATCCAAATCAAAATATCAATCTGTAAAAAGTATAAACACACAAAGAAAGCTGGTTTGCATCAGTAACAAAGCTGTACTCCATTCAACGTTTACCGTCCAGCACATGTCTAAAGAAAAAGGCTTGTTAATAACTTTACAGGAAACATAGGCCTAATACTAATTGTTAGGTGGTTTGCATGAACTGTCCTTGGCACTCTGATCAAGGCACTGAAGTAAGTTTCACAGAGAAAAGTAAACTTTAACTAGAGGACCCATGCTGCTCCGCAGCGTTAAAATAATTATTATATCCGAGAAATAATCAAATTTATAATTTTAAATTGAGTAATACAGAGTATCTTGAGCGTAACTGATTCAAACGATCATTAGCTCAAATTAAATCCTCTAATTTACTGATTATTTTGTGTCTAAAACATATAGAAAAACAGGAACAATACTAGAGCTATTGATTTTTAACCATATTAAAACATTATGAAAAATAATTTATATATTGGTTATTCACCTTGCGTTTGCTTGAAACTCGTCCGATATGAATAACTAATAGCTTAAATGAAAGCCAGTATATAACTGAAGGTTCTTAGACTAAAATATATAGGATTATAAATTTATAACTGGTAAAGGTATATCTTAATTTGCAGTAAGAATTATAAAATAAATCAAATTATGTGTTTTGGTCGTGTAATACTGTAGATAAATATTTGTAGATGATTGATGGCAAATTTGTGCGTGCATACCTTCAATTCGAGACCTCAATAATGAAAATCGGTCGGGTAGAAGAGCCAAACGAACTCGGCAAAGAAAAACCAAATTTAACTCCCATAAGAAATACATGGGGAGCAAATTTCGTTTATTTATAAGCTGATTGGGATTATTGATAAATATATGCCGATGCTTGACGGCAAATCTGTGCGTGCATACCTTAAATTTCAGACCTCAATCATGAAAATCGGTCGTGTAGAAGAACCAAACAAACTCGGCAAAGAAAAACCAAATTTAACTCCCATAAGAAATACATGGGGAGCAAATTTCGTTTACGCATAAACCGAGTAATACTATAGATAATTATATGTCGATGCTTGATGGCAAATCTGTGTGTGCATACCTTCAATTTGAGACCTCAATCATGAAAATCGGTCGGGTAGGAGAGCCAAACAAACTCAGCAAAGAAAAGCCAAATTTAACTCTCATAAGAAATACATGGGGAGCAAATTTTGTTTACTTATAAGCTGATTGGGATTATTGATAAATATATGCCGATGCTTGACGGCAAATCTGTGCGTGCATACCTTAAATTTCAGACCTCAATCATGAAAATCGGTCGTGTAGAAGTGTAATGGGTCAAAATTATAGAGGGGTTAAGTTTTTATATTTATTATTTAATTATCAGTAGGCCTATTCCTTACCTGGTTGGTGATAGTGGTAAAACTATCATGGTAAGGTAAATAGGTTGTTTCAGGCCTATCCTAGGGATGCAAGGGACATTCTATTTCTGCGATTTACAGCGTTAGGACGTGTCTTGCTTTGAAACGATTAGTGATCTTGCTAAACGTGTGCGTAGTGTGTTTTAGTGAAGATCCCTGGCGTATACAGGTAATTCACAGATTTTCTTAGTAGTGTGTACTATTATTTAGCGATAAACCCTCATTTTATTCTTTTAGACATAAAACACACGGTAGGGTCTTTGACGGGTGTTCGAACCTGTATAAGTCCGCTTTAGCGTATGCTAGGGCACCCGTGGGTGGCGATAAAGATTCAATACGTATAAATACATCGTTAAATATTGTGTTTACAATATCGATTGAGGGTGACGGGGTTTTAGCGAATATTTTGCCGGGATATTCAGTAGGTGTTGAACTGCTGCGGCAAAGCGGGCAAAGTTGAACCCGTCTCGGCAGGTCGTGCAAACACGAGGTCGGGTAGAGCACGCTAAGTATATTCAGCTAAGTAAGTTCCAAGTGTTTGAGGTTGACGAAACTGCAACATTAAGTTGTTTCAAAATTTCATTGAACGGGTTTTCATTATTTTTAAATTTAATTTAATTAGCTGTTCCCAGGTGTGAACGATGATGATGGTACAGTAGCGTTGTTGGTTACCGGTACTGAGTTCACACCTGATTCACACTACATTTTTGCGTATATACAAATCTGTACCTGTGCTAGGTTGTTAAGTTAATCAAATACATTATTTTTATCTGAACCCTGGAAACTTCCCAGCACGCCGACTTGAGCGATCCGCTGGCGAGAGTTGGTGACGTCTTTCCCGCTTTAACTACGGAATAGCGCATATATTCCGAGCGGGAAAAACGGCACGTTACAGAAGAACCAAACGAACTCGGCAAAGAAAAACCAAATTTAACTCCCATAAGAAATACATGGGGAGCAAATCTCGTTTACGCATAAACCGAGTAATACTATAGATAATTATTGAATTGAATTGAATTGAAAATAACTTTATTCATAAATCATACAAGTATGTACATTGAATGGCGTCAAAATTCTTAAACTACTTAAACTTACAACATAATATCAGCTGTACAGTTCATCAAAATTATACAGTACTTTTTGTGTTAAGTATATTTTAAGCTGGGATTTAAATTTTTTAAATCATCAACTTTCCTCAACCACTCTGGAAGCCCTTCCAAAAATTTTCTTCCAGCACATGACGGTTTTTTGTTATAAAATTCCAATCTATGGGCACCAACAGCAATTTTGTTTCTATGCCGGGTGCCATATTCGTGGTTATCCCCTAGTTTAGGTAACATACTTTCAGACAAAAGATTTTTAGTTAAAAGAACGGTATGGAAAACATAAATGCCGTACACAGTCATTATACCCATGGCTAAGAAATGATCATGTACGGAAACATCCCAGTTTAAATTTAACATTAGTCTTATTGCTCTTTTCTGCAAAATTAAAATTCTATCCAAATTTTTCTTTGATGTTCCACCATAAACACTTATGCCAAATGATATTGCGGATTCAATGAAAGCAAAATGAAGCTTTTTCAAAATATCTTCTGAACAAAATTTAGACATTCTATAAATTGCATAAATTCCAGATGTAATTTTGCTTACAACATGGTCAACATGGGAGTTCCATGAAAGATTTTCATCAACTACTAAGCCCAAAAATTGCTTGACGGCAAATCTGTGCGTGCATACCTTCAATTTCAGACCTCAATCATGAAAATCGGTCGTGTAGAAGAACCAAACGAACTCAGCAAAGAAAAACCAAATTTAACTCCCATAAGAAATACATGGGGCAAATTTTGTTTACGCATAAACCGAGTAATACTATAGATAATTATATGTCGATGCTTGATGGCAAATCTGTGTGTGCATACCTTCAATTTGAGACCTCAATCATGAAAATCGGTCGGGTAGAAGAGCCAAACAAACTCGGAAAAGAAAAACCAAATTTTTTTAATATATAAGATTTGATGCCTTCACCATAGTCGTTAGGTCAGTTTACATAACCCACATGACAATAAGTACAATGTTTTCAGTAATATTATTAGCACGCATATTCCCTCGAGTCCTGTAGTACACAGTGGACGTTAAATGGAATATAGCCTTTTTACAGTCCTGGACCTCTTTTTTTAGCTTCAATTATTTTATTAAGGCCAAGGGATTGTTATTTCATTATTTTATTAAGATCAAGTAAGGCTGGGCTTTGTTTCTAACTGTTGAAAAGCTGCCAATGATGACTTTTCTCAGATTCTCATTGGATATTGCCTAATTAGTGAATGTGTTAACATTATAGACTTGAAGCTTTTGTGTTTTACGGTCTTGTGTAACTCTGAACCATAGGGAAGTTTTGCCACAAACTTAACATTTCTTTGGTGATTAATTTAAATGATTCTTGTAGTTAAATTGTGTTAAATGTAATAATATTTCCTGCTGAAATAAAAGTTTGCTAGAGGAAGTAATATGCTCTTTAGTCCAGATTTCTTTTTTTAGGCCAAGTTAAGTGCTGATTCGTATAGGGTATTATTGAACAATAGTTATTCGTATTTCAACAAACTACGGATAATACATGTTATTCCACTGTTGTGTAGACATTATCGTCTCTCAGGATCACGGAAACCATAATTTTGTGTGATTGTTATCTTCATCTAAACCCTCGGTCTTGGAAAAAGCATAATCGACCTCCGCAGTTGCTGTGAAAGCGTGAATTTTTAAACGAGAATGCGTTTTGGGTTCGCAATCACAATAGTATAAGCTCAACTAGACCTATTTTCTGTAAAATACACAGAATTTTGGTAAAAATCCAACAATCTGAATGTGGTAGTCCCAATTGATTTGAATAATTATTAGAGTTCTGCTGTAACAATGTCACAAACTCATTCCTGAATTGAAATTTTGTGAACTGTATGTTTACAGCCTAGGCTGTGGTATCGGCTATGGTTATCTGCATAGGATACCAATCCGAGGCATTCCTGAGGTTGGCACCCCTGCGTCTACACTCATCTCCCCAAGTCAGGTAAGTGGTTGAGCATGTTGTCTAACTAAATGTTTTGAGTATCCTGAGGAATACTCAAAAGCAGCAACTGATATGTGGCCTGTTTGCTTAGTCTGATTTTTCAAACACCAAAGCTGTGCTAAAACTCAGAAGAACATGATGTCAAATTTACCTTTTAACTAAGTGTTTTTTTTTGTTTTTTTTAATATGAAGGTTATAAAGTTTACTAAAGAACCGAACTTACTGGTCCGTGTCAAGTGTTGTATGTATTATTTATTTGACGCAGTAGAAATTAAGAAACCACGTATAAAACCACGTCAGATTGCTGGCGCTCAACTACGGTTTATACGTATATTTTAATTATTCAAGACCACTTAGCTAATGTGTAACTGATCTTTTCATTTGTATCTTTTGAAGCGCTTTAATTAAAGCTTTCATCGTAGTTTCTTACTTGTTCCGTTCCTGAAATAAAAAGCCATTACAATAAGCAGAAGATTTTTTTTTAATTGATGAAAAATCCTAAAATGTATACATATGCTTTATAAGTATATTTTCTAAAAGCTCTCAAAATTTCATGATGATTAGATCAGTAGTTTCTTTGTTATAAAATGTTAAAGTCACCCGTTGTTAGAAAAGTGCTGAAAAACCTGTACTTTTTTCATTTAACATGCTGAAGGCTGAGTTGAAACTGCATAAAGAATAAATTTGAAACCAACATCTACATACAGAGAAATATATTTGTAAAAAATATAATGTAACTTGTATTATTCAAAGTATACTGATTACGTTGCAATAAAAGCTCAAACTGGAGTATTTATACTTTTTGATGTGACAGTAGTCTCGTTTTTTCTATGCAACTTAAATTTTGCTGGTTCAATAAATTAAAAAATTTAACAACGCGATAATTTATTAGGAAAATCTTTCCATTTTCACAAAGAAAAACAGAACAACTACGACTATAAGCCAAAAATCAAAAACAATTTATAAACCCACACCAAAATACACCATCACACTTATCTGATTGACCACACAACTGTAAAATGAATGTTTAACCACCAAACTATTAGAAACTAGTGCGAGCACTGACGGACGTGTGACAGTGACAGCGACAACAGACACTAGATATTACTGTAAGTAGCAGTAATTTTGACAGGAGAGATGGATGAGTTCATCGCGTCGCGGTCCCCTTCGATTATACAAATGGACTCGTCCATATTTCATGTCAAAATCCGCTGAGCTCAACGCTTGCTTACTACAAGTCAGAAGTCGGATAGTTTAATATTGTCCTCTAGCCTCTAGCGGATGATAGCTTCATTTTAAATTACAAAGATTGTATAAAATATAAACCTAAATCTGCCCATTTAAGTTTATGTACACAAAACTAATGCCCAACATTTATTTTATAATAATTTTCAAAAATGTTATTTTTTTTTAGAGATGAGCTCGTTTTATCTAGCATGATCCAGTGTAAGTTGAGGAGCCCCGTTTTATCTAGTGTAAGTTCCAAGGGGGGGGGGGGCTTAAGCCTGAAGGCCATATGGTAGATCCGCCACTGTACCTAATTAGTTCATTACGGTTTTTGTTCTGTACGCACACATCTTTAGTGTTTGATATACTCTTTAACTAGAGATATTTTTACAGAAACTTTTCATAAATAGAAGTTTACTAATGATCTAATTCTAAAGGTCCCAACCCCAATCACCAAACTGCTTAATAAATTAAATCGAAACTGCTTGGTCTAATGGTACTTTGGCAAAAATATGGTTTCCACTTTAAATATATTTGTTAACAAATATATTTATATACTACAAATTGATGTTGGAAACAAACTGTATACGAGTTGTCAAAAAGATACTTTTCACAGCTAACTTCTGAAAATAAAACTCAGTTAAAATACACTGTATGGTGGCACAGTTTTTCTTATTTTTTCAAGAGTGTTCAAGAGTTCAAGATAATTGAAAAGTAACTAAGAAACAATAAAACAGTAGTGAAGTGAAGATTATTGGAAAGTGCCTGGATGATTCTGTTTTTCTGGAAGTAGTATGATTTGGCTCTAAATAAAACGAGGTCTACTGTATTAACATTTGAAAACTCATGGCTTTAAGGGTTTTAGTTTTATTTTTTCCTGTTCCAGAATGAGCAGACAAAGAAAGTCACTGAGGGCTTGGGTAACATGAACATCTCTGGTGCGAGTCCCCCGGTGACGACTAATGTGCCTCCCCACTCTACTCCAGTGACATCATCCCTCCCCGCACCCTCTCCCATCCCTTACACCTCCCCTCTCCCCCCACCACCCACTGCACCTCCTGTAGTCCCTGCCAGTATGTTTCCTTCCCCACATCCTGCCATGCTTGGAGGCCTCCCTACTGTCCCTTCCTCCACCTTGGGAGCTGCCTTCAACCTTCCCCCCTCCACCTTCCCCTCTGCTCCCCCTACCTCCCATGTGTTCCCCCCGCGTAGTGGGGTGGATACAGTCGCTGCTGCCAGCGGAGTTGTGCCTTCTGTTGCACACATGGCTACCTCGGGTAAGTTTATTTTTTAACTAGGCCTATTCTTTTATTGTTGGTGTTGGTGTTTCGTAACGCTATTTTATCTTACAAAGAACCATTATCTAACATCTTGTTGTTTTTACAAAATTATTTTTTTTTGTTTTTGTTTTTACCTACTATAGTAAATAACTTTGATAAATCTTTTGGGCATCACTCACCTTATTGAAATCACAAGAACGCAGTCCTTGTCATATCACAATCATACACAGTTCATTGCACATAAAAAATATACAAAAATAAAAATAAAACTAAATTTAAATTTGTTAGTTTTATTTTTATTTGTGTACTATATTTTTTATGTGCAATGAACTGTGTATGATTGTGATATGACAAGGACTGCGTTCTCGTGATTTCAATAAGGTGAGTGATGCCCAAAAAAATTTATCATACTGAAGTATTGACCTCACCTAATATACCATGTCGTTTAGGAATACATTATTTTCAAGCATCTATATGTAAATTTCATTAAGTTCAAAGGACATACAACCAAAATATATTCTAAAAGCTCATTTTATTTCTTTAATGTACATTCATTTATAGATTGATGTCTTATATCAAGTATTAAGACCAATAAAACTGCAACACAATTATTTAAAAATAATTTTTTGTGTAACAGATCCTAGCCTACTGAAATTGGAGTTTATTGCATTTCTTTATTTTTAATGTTAAAAACAACATTGCTATAACTTTTAACCATAGTGATAAGTTACTTGTTCTATGAATAACACTTTTCAATGTCAAGAAATCGTCCTTTATTGTCATTATGCATAGGGCAAATTGTGCTTCAACAAACTTTGGTGCAGAAAACAGTATTCAGCAACTCATCCTGAAATCGGCTTTTTAATTTAAACATGTTGAAAATTGAAAAGTAAAAATAACATGTAGGCCTATTTGGCTATGTAACAAGTTGGCTATATTAGGCTTGTTTTTACAAGGACTAAACCGATCCTATTAATTGAACTTGGTATTCTTATTAATCCAATAGCATAGCGTAGCCTAGGAATAGTCCTTGACAAGAGCTGTTAGCAGGAGCAAACTATGCTATTTTTGCTATGTAAGTTTTATGTTGTATGTAGATTTTTTTTGGTTACAATTGTTATGTTTTTTTTTTTTTTTTTTTTTTCATTTATTGTCCATAAACATATATATACAATGCATAGACAAAAGTCACCAATGTCAAAATAAAAGAAAAAAGAATACAATTTCAATGTATATAAAACAATATTACCTCTTAGTGTACAAACCTGGGCTCAACTTAGATCACTCAAAATGTAGTTTTCCAAATTGTTATGCCGAATCGGTTAGATCTGAAATTTTTGATGAATACGGTCTTTTTTTAACTAGCCAATTCTTCAGAGCAATTTTGAATTTAGTGCCTTCTAATTCCTTTATATTGTTTGGTAGGAGGTTGAAATAAATTGACCCCATCACAAAAGGACTTCGGCCAGTTTTGTTGAAATTCCTCCTCACACGGTGAAAATCATCCTTCCGTCTCGTGTCGTACCTGTGGATTTGACTATTTTTATTTGTGTGCTTTACATCATTTTTCACAAGCATAATTAATTGATAAATGTATAGTCCATGCAAAGTGAGGAGATTTAAATTAACAAAAATATCTTTACAAGACCTTTTGTACCATACTTTGGCTATCAGTCTGATTGCTCTTTTCTGGAGAACAAAAATTGTATGTAAATTACAGTCGGGATAAACATCGTAATCCAACCAAGGAAGGTCTTGTGATGATGAACCACAATCAACAGCTGAAGCAATGGTTGATAGACCAGTTTTCTCATTATTTTAAGGTTTAGTGTTGGTTTCCATTAAAAATCCAAGTTGAAACTATCGATACCTATAATAAAGAAACTAAATTGATAACTAATTTCCCTGTCAATCACTTGCAAGCATTCAATAGCTTCTCTTGTCACCGGTAACGGTCTGCATCTAGCGATTTTATTTTATCTGACAGTAATCATAGAGTAGCAAATAAAGGAAATGAGAGCCAAAAGTGTGGATAACACTCAGATAATGGCCTCCATGTCCATGCAACGTTGTAATAGGTGATAAAACTGCTGGGACCAGCTGTTTGAAGCCAAGAAAGTAGGCCTAATTTTTTTTTTAAATCTCAGTTTGAAAGATGCTGTTTCATGTAAGGTTGTGATAAAAACACTATCTCAATCAATGTAAATGTAGCGAGAAAAGTAGCTAAAATTCCGCTACAACTACTTTTAAAATGTAGCTAGCTACAGCTAAAGCTACAAAATCTTAAAAGTAGCATAGCTACATCTAACGCTACAAAAAAAGTAGCGTGCTACTGTAGCGTCACTACTTGTAGCGTGCTACTTCCCAACACAGGATAATTTTGGAAAAAATCTAGAAATGTTACAATGTGTTTTCCTGACCACTTGTTGGTGTCAACCATGTTCTATATTCACAAAAAGAAGTATAAAATACAGTACAACGAAACTAACATTGCATAAAAAACAAAAAATCTAGACCCATATTAATTTACTAGCCGCTTGTGAGCTTATAGGAGTTCGCATTGGCTGGTTGCCACCAGCAAGGAGGTCACGTGACTGCCATTTGAGGGTAAGCAGCGCTAAAAAGTTAAACATGTTCGACTTTTGATTTCGACTAGTAAACACCAGCTTGCTGGCATTTACCAGCCGCTAGTTTTGGGTCAGACTAGACTGCTCGCTGGCAATATTACCGGCGGCTGGTTAGTAGCCAGGAAGAAATGGAGATTGTTTTACCTGCCCTGAATTTTGAAACTGGTTAGTTTAACAGGTTTTTCTATGAATCATCTGTTTCTGTCCTTATCACAGTAATAAAAGCAAAATCAGGTCTTTGAGGGTCTTGTTTCGTTATGAACTTCTTTTTCATGTAAATTTTGAATTGTAAAACAAAGGCGATAGCAGCTAGCTTACCAGAGGAAGTACAGGTAGCCCATAGAACATACAGAAGACACACAGAACACATATTTCAACCCCTTGGGGACTTCATCGTGTAGAGAAAGTTAAATCCTCTTTATTCTACAATCCAAAATCCTAGCCTAGAGCTTTTCCTTGAACAAAATGTTTCCAAGTAAATGCTAAAATACCTAAATAATTTTAAAAATAAAGTAATAATAATCAGCATGGGGTGAATTCAATTTTGTTATTTTTCTTATAAAAAAGTATTTTTTATTGTTAAGTAAATTGTAACAGTTGTCATAAACAGGATTACTTCTGCATACTTTCATTGTTACTCAAGTAAGAAAAATCATTGCAAAACAAAGCAGCATTCAATACTGCTGAGTTTTTGGTAGGTATATAAACATACAGTAGTATCAATAATACATTTATTTTTACTGAATGTTTGTAACAAAGTTGTCTGTATTTTACTTGGTATATAGGTTCATTTCCATTAAACTGTGGTATAGTGAGATGAAACCAAAGAAGTTATAACTGTTGAACTTTTTTTCAGCTATCACACAACCGAGTATACCAGGGATGCCAGTAACAACTCCGATTTCCCTGCCTGGCATGCCTCCAATCACAGTTAGTGCAACTCTGCCATATGCTACTCTCGAGGCCATCCAGTCCACGGAACCTACCAATCACAAGCCATCCGTCACGGCGACGCAGTAATTAGTGTTTTCTACTGTACCGTTCTTTAGGCGAACACTATTGTGCTATTTATTTAACAACCAGTTTTGCTAAATTTTACTGAAGAAACGTATTAAACGCTCAAGAAGCTTTAATATTTTGTTTTCAAACTACGATTTTGTTTATGTCTAACTGATTTATGTTAATGAATTATATGGGCATAATATATCAATTAAATGATGTTAGGTGATTATTTTTTCCTTTTCCTACCATAATCCTCATTATGATTCATAAATTGGTATGGATTTTTCCTTTTCGGTACCAAACTGTGTCAATTCTTTCCCCTCCTAGTACAGTGCAATTAGACATAGAACGGCCTAACCTCAACATCCAAAGTAAAAAAAGCATAGATGTGGATTAAAAACAAATTTTTAAGGCCTAAAAGCTAGGTACAGTAGAACCTCTTTAATCCGAACCCCTGTAATCCGAACGCCTCATTGCTGTAGTCTATACACAGAACAGTAGTTTTTTATTAGATACTGTATTTATTGATATACACACCGTAATTATTTCAATTGTTATGTACAGTACTGTTTATTCCCTATGTTTACTACTGTATTAAATAAACACCGTATTTTACTTTATAAAGCATTTTTCACTTTTCCCTAGCTATTGTTATGTAAAAACAACAATATGTTCTGTAATCCGAACTATTCAATAGTCCGAACTACCCCCGGTCCCAATTAGTTCGGATTAAAGAGGTTCTACTGTAAGTCTTTTTTCTAGAGAATAAAACTAAATGAAAACTCAAAATTTCCATTTAGTTTCATTAGGCCAACCACACACAGAACCGGGTAGGGCGGTGCGCAACAAGGCACGACAAGACGCTTGACTTATTGCCCTGTCAAGCTGCTGTCACACACAGAACTAGGCAGGGCACGTCAATTAAAAACTGTAGCCACCATAAACCTGAAAAGTAATATAGGAATTTTTATTTCCTAGCCTTGAGCCGATTTTAAAATTCAAGTTTATACTTGGGAGCAGGATAGAAAACAAAACTAAAAAAAAAAATTAAAACAATCATACCTCCAGAGGAGCGGTTTTTGAAACTCTAAGGCACTTAAGATATATATGTTGGTCGTCTCTCTCCTCAGTATCAATACCAAATTAAAGTATTTAGTAACCACCGTAGTAAACACTGTATAGTCGTATAAAATGTTACAATACAAATTATATCAGTTGTAAATATAAAAAAATCCATTGTAAATATAAAAAATCCATATCAAAATTAGCCCGTGAGAGAATAGATCACGTGACCGCGTATGCGCAGAAAGTTCTACCTGGCGGGCGTCTTTTCGAAGTGTCCTGCTCTGCCCGGTCCTGTGAGGAGCTCTCGCACAATGCCCGACTTCTTCGCAGAAGAGGTTTACAACGGCTTCTGACCAGGCGCCTGAGACGCCAGTCTCGGCGCGTGGTGTCACATTTTTTATGTTGACTCTACTCGGCCAGTTAAAAACTCGGACACTTGATTTATCTAAATATTATTAGTTATTTATCAAAACTCGGACAAATGAAACTTGGACAACTGATTTTTCTAATATTTTGTAATTTTTTACAAACTCGGACGGTTGAAAACTTGGACAAATGATGTGATCCCATCTATACAATACAATCCTTTATCCCTACATGTTAATCTTGTGTATTTAATACTAGGTGGCGTTCGCAGGGGCATCCACAAAATTGAGCGGAGTCATCAAGGGTTCATATTATATTGTTTTTGTCATACTGCAGTAAAAACAATCGTTTTTAATGCATGCGTTGCGGGTCTAAAGTAGCATTTTTACTCTTTAGGGAGTAAAAATCGTTTTAGCCTCTATGGAGTAAAAACCAGCTGTTGTCAACTCAGTTGTAAATTTCTATTGTAAACGATTGCATGTATCGATTCGTGCATTGTAATCATTTTAACCTACAATCTACAGTCTCTTCCCATAGCATTTTAGCATTGCAGATACATTAATCCATTCCCACACTCAACACTGCTCACCTTTACTACTTCCTTCACCACCCCCTACGTCGTGGACCTGTTTCCCTCTCTTCCCATAGCATTTTAGGATTGCAGATACATTAATGTAATTGCCAAAGACAGTTCCCACACTCTGCACTGCAAGCCTTACTACTTCCTTTACCATTTCCTACGTCATAGACCTGTTTCCTTCCCTTCTCGTAGCATTTAAGTATTAGATACATTTATCTAACTGCCCAAACGGTTCCCCCACTCTGCACTGCCATCCTTTACTACTTCCTTCACCACTTCCTACGTCGTGGGGCCTGTTTCCTTCCCTTCTCATAGCATTTTAGGATTGAAGATACATTAATCTAACTGCCACAGACGGTTCTCACACTATGCTAATACTTTACTACTTCCTAAGCCACTTCCTACATTGTTGACCTGTTTTCATCACTTTCCATAGCATTTTACTAATCTAGATACGTTAATCTAATTGCCACAAACATTGACCACACTCCGCACTGCCTTTACTACTTCTTTCACCATTTTCTATGTCGTGGGCATGCTTCCATCCCTTCTCATAGCATTTCAACATTGCAGATACATTAATCTAACTGCTACAAACGGTTTCCAGTCCCCACACTCCACACTGCTCACCTTACTACCTTCACCTCTTCTTACGTCACGTACCTGTTTATCTCCCTTCCCTTAGCATTATTGGATTGCAAATACCTTAATCTATTGGTCATAAACAGATCCCACACTCCGGACAACTCGCCTTTACTACTTCCTGCACCACTTCCTACGTCACGGACCTGTTTCCCTCCCTTTCCAAAACATTTTAGGATTGCAGATACCTTAATCTAATCGTCATAAACAGTTCCCGCACTCCGGATAGCTCGCCTAGACTACTTCCTTCACCACTTCCTACATCGCGGGCCTGTTTTCCTCCCTTCCCATAGCATTTTAGGATTGTAGATACCTTAATCTAATCGTCATAAACAGTTTCCACATTCCGGACAGCTCGCCTTGACTACTTCCTTCACCACTTCCTACATCGCGGACCTGTTTTCCTCCCTTCCCATATCATTTTAGGATTGCAGATAACTTAATCAAATCGTCAAAAACAGTTCCCACAGTCCGGACTGCTTGCCTTTACTACTTCCATCACCACTTCCTACATCACGGACCTGTTTCCCTCCCTTCCCATAGCATCATAGGATTGCAAATAACTTAATCTAATGGTCATAAACAGATCCCACACTCCGGACAACTCGCCTTTACTACTTCCTTCACCACTTCCTACGTCATGGACCTGTTTCCCTCCCTTTCCAAAACATTTTAGGATTGCAGATACCTTAATCTAATCGTCATAAACAGTTCCCACACTCCGGATAGCTCGCCTTGACTACTTCCTTCACCACTTCCTACATCGCGGACCTGTTTTCCTTCCCTCCCATAGCATTTTAGGATTGTATATACCTTGATCTAATCGTCATAAACAGTTTCCACACTCCGGACAGCTCGCCTTGACTACTTCCTTCACCACTTCCTACGTCGAGGACATGTTTTCCTCCCTTCTCATAGCATTTTAGGATTGTATATACCTTGATCTAATCGTCATAAACAGTTTCCACACTCCGGACAGCTCGCCTTGACTACTTCCTTCACCACTTCCTACGTCGAGGACATGTTTTCCTCCCTTCTCATAGCATTTTAGGATTGTATATACCTTGATCTAATCGTCATAAACAGTTCCCACACTCCAGACAACTCGCCTTGACTACTTCCTTCGCCAATTCCTACGTCGCGGACCCATTTTCCTGCCTTCCCATAGAATTTTAGGAATGCAGATACATAAATCTAATCGTCATAAACAGCTTCCACACTCCAGACTGCTCACCTTTACTACTTCCTTCAGCACTTCCTACGTCACGGACCTCAAGCTAGTGTCGTCATTTGATTATATTTATGATACATACCGTTTCTGTTCTAATATCTGTGGAATAATGCTATCAGCTATTTCTTCATCTACTGCATTCAAAAGTCAACAGCTGATCATATGTCTTTGTTTATGTGTCAAATACTGCTTCCATAAGGATTACATTGAAACTTTGAGACCCAGTGGGGCGGATTCCTGAGAGACTTTTTTAACGCCATATAGATGTTGGCACTCACCGATATGGTCTTTATCACCACGCAAAATTTGAAAACGATTGATTCAGCCGTCTAGGAGGAGTTTGCGTATTACGAAATGCATAAGAGTCGACGTATAAGAGCTTCGCTCGCTCCGCTCAATGAATTATAGTTTTAACTATTTTTACTCTTTTGGTTGATAATATAACAAGAGGGCTAAAACTATAAGGCAAGTTTATTTATTTCCCTCACCAGATCTTTTAAATTGCAGGACCTGGGCCCAGGATCCATTTACTTTTTTGTTTTGAGGTCCCTAGAGTCCAAAAACACCAACCGTTCAAATTAATGTTCTTCAATTTCTTTCCAAACCATTTTGTAGAGCTTAAAAAAACAAATAATTTAGTATATTGAAGCGTTATTAGGCGCCTAATGGTTACGGAGAAAATTCCAAAAAAATTTAACACTAATACCGAAACCCCACCTAGGCTGATGTTAACCGAAACCCCCGGTCTGTGAGACCCCGCTTTAAAATACACTAACGCTGGGCTTCTGAGACGGACATGTTATGAACAGACGACCTTTCAAGGTCACGGCACCCATGCAAAATGAACAAATGATATATCAATAGGTAGGGGAGGAAAAGGGGGGAAGGTATTGGGGGAATGGAATCTACCAAGTTAACAGTGTTGCCAACATGCGTTTTTGAAAATTCCTGTGGGCCTGTCAGACCGGGATTTCGGTATTAGTGTTAAATTAAAAATTCCCATTATATTCTTGTGGAGAAAAAGTAAACTGTTGTTGTTTCCTTGTTTACGAGTATATTTTTATCACTATATATATAAAGGAATAAATGGAGGCTTTGTTACACACGATTTCATTCATTCATTCATTCATTCACTCATTCATAAATATGATATTTTTAAGGAGACATTTTAGTGTAATTATTAGCGAATTTCCCATATAGGGAATAAGCGATTAGGTACTGTAGTACTCATGATGAGACCTGGACCTGGGACCAATTAACTTTATTGTTTTGAGTTCCCTAGAGGCCAAACCGTTCAAATTCATATATTTTAATATGTGTTGTAATATGTGTCCGTTAGCACGATTGACTGAAGCAAAAATGATACGATTTTGATTAAATTTGGTAAAAACGTGTAAGCCTACATTTATTCGAACGAGTTCGCGAACCAGCTTGATCGGACCATGGGAATTAGGTCAATTAGGCAAATGGAAATTAGCTTAGTCTGAAGGTTTGCTGTGGCGGAGGTATTTATTTACCTTGGTCACATCAAAATGGCTTTGTTCATTGAATTCACATTGAAATGCACTATTAAAGACCTTTAATTTGATGTGGATATCGACCTATACCAACGTTTATGATTTTTTTCCGCCTTCTAGCGACCTGAGGAGGTAGGGTGAGAGCATTTCAAATTCAATAAATCTTTGAACAGCTGTCATTTGTGACTCAATTGTCCATTTGAGGTCCTGTTTGCGGCATGGTTTTAGTTCAACAAGATCTGTAATTTGATGTAGGCCTACATATTAACCTATGCTTACCATCATGGTTTTCAATTTACTACCTATGGGTTGTCCCCAATAGGTGACATCCAATCACCTTGTACACAAACAGTTTACTTACTTACTGCTGTTCTTCTCCTCCGCAGTCATCAAGATTGGGGGAGGCGTCATCTTTTTCTTTGTTTTCTCATTTTCTGGTGTTATTGTTTGTAGATTCTGTTTTCTATTGTCTTCCATTAAATATATGGTCATCCAGGAATTCATTTAAGCTGTAGCAGGGGCATTTGAGAAGATAATTTTTCAATTGGGTAGTGATTTTTTTCAGTCTGTAGGTAAGTAGTTAAGTTTCATCCCTCTATAAGTTGGGGTTTTTGCTGTTTTTTCTAGTCTATGTTGCAGGAAATTTAGATAGTTTTTTTTTATTGGTGTTGTAGTTATGTGTTTCAGATCGTTTTGTGGGATTAAGTTTTATTGCTTGAGTTATTACTTCAACCAAGTACAAAGAATGTTTTGCAGTGTTCTTGATAGTGGAGATTATTTAGGGTTCTTATTGCTTCTTTTTGTATAAAAATTGATTGAAAAAGGTCTGTGCTTGCTGCGCCCCAAGCAACAATTCCAAAACGGAGGTGTGATCTTATAAGTGCATGGTAGGCAATTTTGGTTGTAATAAAGTCGGTCAGGTTAGGCCGGCCGCACGCCTAATACAGCACCCGCCGCGTCTTGCCATGCCCGATAGAGAAGAGTTGAAGTTCTGCATACAGCACGGGACGGCAAGACGTAACTCAACTGAGAAGTTGCACTGCTTTCGACAGGTGCTGTCACTGCACTTCACGTGGTGTCGATCCTCGTACATGTGCACATAGTTTTGCCTCAAACCTTTTGCCCGAAAGACGAAGATTGACAAGGCAGTACAAAGCGCCGTGCGGCGCTTTGTACTGCCTTGCCTTGCCGTGCCCGATGATGTGTGCGGCACCTCCACTTGAAATGATAGAAACCTGGTCGCATAAGGCGCCTTAAGGAAAATCGTCGCGCCGTGCCGCATCTGGTGTGTGCCCAGCCTCAGTTATCCTTCTCATGGAATAGATTGATGTAGATAGTACTTGTTGCGAAATAAATATGGTGTTCCCATTTTAAGTCTTCATCTATTTGTAGGCTATTCCCATTTTGTATGATCTGATCTGTTTGGGTTTGATTTATCTAAAGGATCTTTTTTTGAGTTTGATTTGCAGGGAAATTCTTTTGTAACAGTTTTTGTGTTATTGACTTTAAAGGCTATTGATTTGCAGAATTGTCCGATATGTTTTAGAATATTTTCTATTCCTCCATTGGTTATGAGGTGGTGATCTCGAGGGATTAGTACTGTGGTGTAGCTTACTATAACCAGTAATGATATGCCAAATTTGGTTAAGATAACTTATATCTTTTTGTTTTAAAGTTATAAAGTATTCCTAAGACATAATTGTCACACTGTGTATTGGCCTAATACAGTACGGTATACATAAAAATTTTAAAGGATAGTGCTTTTGGCCTCTGGGGATATTACACTAGGCCTAAAGGTGTAAAGCGGGATAAACTTGAATGAGTTCGCGAACCAGCACGATCGGACCATGGGAACGGGGCTTTACGGGGGGTTTTATGGGGTAAAAATTGGTTTTTCTCACTTTTGACCCTCAAAATACAAAATTTCCCGATTTCTCTTTAGACCTTTTTAAAGAGCTTAAAAAAACAAATAATTTAGTATACAAAAGTATTTTGTTCGATTATTAGTAACGGAGAAAATTAAAAAAATTGTAAATTTTAAATTCCCATGTTATTCTTATGAAGAATATTGTCAAATGTTGTAGTTTGCTTGTTTATGGATATATTTTGATCAAACTTGGCAAATTTATTTAATTTGTACTAAGCTATCAATATTTTCCTCAAAAACACACTTTATTAGTTTCCTTGTAGCAGCAAACCTAGGTACTCGTTAAACCTAATGTTATTAAAATATATTTAACTGAAAATCAATTCAGACAAATGGAAATTCGCTTAGTCGGCAGGTTTGCTGCGGCAGGGGTATTTCAATCCTTGTAGGCCTGCAGTGGATTTGTATAAAAATTTTATAACTTACTTAAACTTATATTTTAAAGGCAAGTAATTAATTTACTTAACCTTATTTTTTCATTGCCACACGGCACCTGCTAACACCTAACAATTTAATTTTAGTCACCATAAAATATGAAAGATATGTGTGCTCTGAAATGTACACATTAGGCATTAGAGTGTAGTTTGTGATTGTTGATCAGCTGATGATTGTTTGTGATGGTTGATTAGTTGATTTTAGCTGATTATATTTAGGCCTACTTTTCTCTTGAGGACTCTACTAAATATGGGGGAGGGGTTGGTCGGGGAAATTACCTTGACTGCAATAGCACATAGACACACAAATCCAGAATCATGAAAGAACGAGTCTAAAAATGGAAACCATTCAAATATCGGAACATTCCTCAAGTTCTGTTTGTACAGTAGAGTCCTGCAAACTCTGCGTATTGTGGACTGGAAGGGTGCCGAGTTTGTGAAATGCCAGGTTATCGGAAACTAGAGTTAAAAATAAGAGCAATACAATTTTTAAGCTTTTTAACCGCCTTTTTCATTTAGATTTATATCACAAGTCAGTATTAAGTCATCAGATATAGTATAACAAATCCTTAGAACGAGTTGCAAATGATTATACTTGAGCTGGCTTGTGTCCATGTTTAACTCGGACTCAAAAAATTGCAAATTTTCTGAGCCAGGTGTTGGCCGAGTTATCCAGACTGCCGGGTTATCCAGTGCCGAGTTTGCGGGACTCTACTGTAATTCATCATGTTTTTTTGTGTGTTATTTTTGTCACTCAGTTGAATATTCATAAAAACAGCTAACACTCAAACTGTATTACTTAGCTTAGTGATTGTTAAAAAAATCGAAGTATAAGAAAAGTTTAATTCAAAGCACTAGGCCTAAAAGAGGTTTAGGCTAATTGAACAGGGTTTAAAAGGAATTTAGGGTTTTACAGGTCTGTAAAACACTAAATTATATTTAGAAAAAGTTGATGTGTGGCAAAGGAAGAAACCTACGCACACATTTAGCACCAGACAACTTGAGGTGTGATGAAGGTCAGATCAGGCGTAGTGTGGGTTGTAATTTGGGGTGCATTTTGCACAAAACAGCCTGTATCAGAGTTTAGGTATGGCAAATATAAAACTATGACAATAATTTTCTGGTTTAAATGTTGATATTTTATGGCAATAACTTAAGTCCAAGTTCTACAGTAGAACCCCTGATATCCGGCCTTGGTTTTACCGGCCCTCTGTTTATCCGGCCCCTTCTAGAAAGCCAATATCAACATGTTTTTCTCACAACTTACAGACGTGAAAATTCAAGCACTAGTATTTGCGACTTGGTCGTTCTCAGTTCTCAATATTTATCTGTTTGTTCATGCATTTTACTCTGTCACTACTCATAGTTGTGCTAATAGGCCTAACCTCTGAACAATTGATTATTTCCAAAGCGGGGTTACCGGTAGTACAATACATGAATTGTTGTACTTCACAAAATTGATAAGAAAGTTGAATAGAAATGTACCATTTAAGTCCAATGATCTCCAAGGTCAATTATTTATTGTCACTTTTACCTCAATTGTGAACTGTTATTTAATAGTTATTGTTACATGGAATCATAATATTTGTATAACTTAGGCCTATTCATTAGGCCTACTTAACAACTTAACTTAACTTACAAATAAATTTATTTTTTCCTTTTTACAAACATGTTCAGTCTTCTAAAAATAATCTCAGAACAAACTTGAATGATACTTTTGACTGAATATAGCCTATTAATTACATATCATGCTGGCTGCACTTTACTTTAGGTCCTACACTCATTCGAATGAAAATATCGATCGATATATCGATTAATCGATTGTTTCATTCGATATATCGTTTGGTTAGTTAGGTAAGGTTAACCTAACTTAACTAACCAACAATATATCGAATGAAACAATAGAATAATCGATATTTTCATTCGAATGAGTGTAGGACCTAAAGTAAAGTGCAGCCATTATGCCTATTATTAGGCTAGGTATGAATTGTCATTTTCATAGTAGGTTGGTTTATCCAGCCAAATCATTAACTTATTCGGCCAGAGGCTTGGTCCGGTGGTGGCCAGATATGTTGGCTAGGGGTTCTACTACATATGTATAAACCGATTTTGTCGACAAATGGTAGGCCTATTGGTATGGCTTTATTTAAGTACCTGCTACACACAAAAATGAAAATTATGACACATATGACTGAGCTGTCATCAGAAGTCATAGTGGAGGGATACCCTAGATGTACCCTATCGGTACACCACGGATCACTGTGATATAGCACAGTAACTGATTAGAAACAATAATAAAAACTAAGTAAAGAGAATCCGTTTATTACAACATACGATTTTACAAATAAAGTATGAACAAATTTAGTTACCGTACTCACAAAATAATGGGTTTAGTGTCCACATCAAACCTGACTACTGTACAGTGTGATCTATTATTCACTATTAGGCCTTATTAGATTATTATTTCTGTGTCTCCAAGTTCTTCATCTGAAGGCAAGTTTACTGTTGAAGGGTCAACATAGTTAGGGTCGATAAGGGGAAGCCCTAAAGCTTCTCTTCTTCTCAACTCTAGAAACGCTTCTCTCTGAGCCCAATCCTTGAGGTTTACATCAGGTCTGTAGTAGATAAAAAAGCCTGTTCCCACACATACGATAGATATGTACAGGAAAAAATGAGAGTGTATGTAATTGTATTCCTCATCTTCTGTCTTTCCACCAAATCCATAATCATAGAAAAATTTCTTCTTTTGGGGTACAGCAGTGTCATCTTTTCCTTGACCTACAGCAGGCCCCACAACTGTTGTATCATCTTTCTTTTTCGAAGTAGAGATGAGACGAACACTCGGCAAGCAATGGGATAAAGAAGATTTTCTGGACAGGCATGCAAGTTTTGAAATACGACTGAGAGCGGACATTTTGATGTTATTTCTAAAAATACAGTGCGGATACTTAACCTACCATCACACAGTCAAATGAAGGAACTTAAGGGACATACAAGTACAACCACCAGCCAACAGTCGAACAGTCCAAAAATCCAAGAGGCAAGAACAGGTACAACGTACAACAGTACAAGCACAAGGTACGGTATACAAGTTAAGAAGAGTTCAGCGTTCAGCTAACAGCTACGAGCTAGCTACTGCAAGCAAGCAAAGTGAAAAAAACAGCTGGGAGCTGGAGGCGCAGACGCCATTCGCTAATTCTAACCAAACAGCTGGGAGCTGGTGACTCCAAGCACAAGTAAGAATGCAATCATGTAGCTTTACGGAAGGTCCGTAAACACGATAATATGTAATATTTAGCCTTTAAGCAAAGATTAAACATACTCCTCAAGGATACTACTATAATACTACTATTATACTCCTTGAGGAGTATGTTTAATCTATGCTTTAAGTTAACCAGAACACGATTCATAAAATAACAAAATTGGCTTATGAATTTAAATACCACAAGAATTTTCTGAATATATTTTAGTATTTAATTAATTAATACATATGTATTTCATTACCGGTCACTTGATGGCGCTCCTGGTAACCGGTAAAATTTCTTCTCTAAATCTAGGCAAGGCAGGCAAGGATGAATTTTTGGGTTAGGGTTCACTTACACTACAAATCATAGACACTATGAGCCTCCAAATATGTAATTCCATCTATGGTAATTCTTAAAACACATGGCTCACTTACTCTACAGATCATAGTGCCTATGAGCCAAGCGTATGAATTATTTTTTAATTCTGACGGCTCACTTACACTATAGCTCATTTAGCTACACGTCACACGGTTTGCAGCGCATCGTTGCAGGCGTTTATGGTAAACCAATACCGCCGTTCTGCCGTTCTGCTTTACTTCTGCGTTTACTAGTCGTGCAGCATGAAAGAGAGAAAAAACTAATTTCTCCATATAGGTACTATGTGATTAGTAAGTAAAAGTAATGATTCAACAAATACGTATTTTTGTATTTTAAACAGTTTATCTGTCCATTTTGCAACAAACTCATTTATTTTATATTTTCGATGTAGTGAAAGTGAGCCTTCTACTATTTTTAATTTTATTTACAAAGCTCGAATTGACTATGATCTGTAGAGTAAGTGAGCTGTCCCCTAATTTTGTAGTGTACACTGTCTCTTTAGTTGTAATAACAAGTTTGGTTTGACTGAAAAACACACTTAACAGAAAATTAATGTCATTCATCTTACTAATATTATAAATGTGAAAGTAGAATATTAGAAAGCTTCTTATGATAACAATAAATAAACAAAGCTAACTCTACCGAGGTTTCGGCCACACTATTCTTATGGCTTTGAGTGTGTGCTGCAAAGCTTTAAGTGTGTTTTTCCGAAAGTTTGTTTTAGCGAATTTCCCTATAGGGAAGTAGCTATTACCGTAGGTGGCACGGTAAGAATTAGACCTGGGACCGATTTACTTTTTCATTTTGATGTCCCCAGAGGCCAAAAACACCATTTGTTCAAATTTATATATATATATATATATATATATAGATTTATTAATAAATTAAATAAATAATTAAACATGTATCTTACTAATATTATAAATCTGAAAGTTTGTGAGTTTGTGTGTGAGTTTGTGTGTGTGTGTGTGTTGCTCAATCACGCATAAACTACTGGACGGATTGGGCTGAAATTTGGCATGATGATAGCTCACATTCCCGATTAACATTAAAGCATATTCTTATCTCAAAAATCCTTTCGGGCTCCGCCCCAGTGGCTCTGTAGTTCCTCATGTTAACCTTATGATTTTTCATATTTAAAAGGAATTAATGAATCTTAACAGCTGTTTCAATTAAACAAGTTGGTTCTGTGTATGGTTTATATTATTTATCCATGTTGTATTATATCACATTATATTGAAATTCAACACAAATCATTTTTTAGGGTTTATTTTAACCCACATTCAGGGTAAAATCACAACTGTTGAACTGTGTGAGGTGGCAACATTGGCCTTTTTTCTTATTCGGGTTCATGTCATATTGTCTGTCAAATCAAAATGTCAAATCAAATGTCTAGTCTTCCTCAACTTGTCCAGCCCACGTGTTATCAATCTTTTTCTTAACGTGTATTACTACTCTAGTAAGTATTTATCCAAGCCCAAAACAACGTTATATTTGTGATTAGACTTGTATTGTTGGTTAGATTTCTTTAGTAATACGGTAAATACCCCCCGTTGCAGCAAACCTGCAGACTAAGCGAATTTCTATTTGCTTGATTTAGATTTACTCTAAAATATACCTATCCTTTAAAACATCACATTTATTCAATAGGCTATTTAATAGCATTAGTTTAACGAGTACTTAAATATGCTGCAACAGGGGTACAGTTTCTTAACTGGGCTATGCTAATATCTATTGAAACTACCGAATTGAAAATATTGATTAATAATCGATATTTTAAATATATCTATTACTAGCTGTAACCCGCGGGCTTTGCCCCGTTTAACTTCTTAATTTTCAAGATTATCTCGTTCGCATGGCTCAATCACGTCCTGGTTGAAGTTTGTTCGCTACGCTCACTCACCTTTAGGTTGGAGCTCGTTCGCTGCGCTCACTTGCCTTCAGGTTAGCTCGTTCGCTACGCTAACTCGCCTCCAGGTTGAAGTTCGTTCGCTACGCTCACTCACCTTTTGGTTGCAAATTAGCTGTTGTCATAAATGTAAAAGAAATAATAGTGCTGCACCCTGTTGGTAATCCTTGTAACTTTAATGCTATTGAACATCATAGAACAGAACCAACTTGTTTAATTGAAACAGCTGTTAAGATTCAATAATTCCATTTCTCATAAGGTTAACATGGGAAACTCCAGAGCCACTGGGGCGGAGCCCGAAAGGATTTTTGAAATAAGAATATGCCTATATGTTAATCGGGAATGTGAGCTATCATCATGCCAAATTTCAGCCCAATCCGACCAGTATTTTTCGAGTTTACTTTTCCCATACACACATACAGCAACCACCTCTTTTTTATAATAGTATAGATAGATAAAATTAAACCATCATAACCTAACCTAACCAACCAAACTTACTGATGGTGAAAAAATCGCATGAAGGTTTACTAATCAAATTGATAGTTTAAACCCCTTCTTGGGACACGCTGTATATAGGCCTAGATTGGATATATACAGTTAAAATACAATAGTTAGTCTTTTTCCAACAAAAAAGCACAAACACACAAAGTTTGCATATTTGTTACAAAGTTTTAAGTCCATGAAATCCTAAAAACTTCAACTCCAGTCCAAAACATGACATCTTTTCAATCTATATACACAGTTCGGCCAAGGTACTGAACGTTGTCCAATACCATAGCAAGGTATGTAGTCAGACAGACAGACAGACAGACAGAAAATCTTTATTCAAAATCTTAGAGATTTGAAAGGCGTCAATACACACAAAAATTAGATAAATTGTCAAATACAATCAAAGTTCTGCCAGTCCATAAATTCTCTTATGCTGTAGAATGGCATCTTGCAGAACCAACGGGTGAGTTGAGCTTTTAAGGTTTTAGGGTTGTCATCTTTCAGCTCTCCTGGCAGCATGTTGAAGAATTTTGATCCAGCATAGGTAGGCTTACGTTCGAAGAGTCCAAGGCGATGAGCAGGGAGGTTGTAGTTGGTTTTATTTCTCGTTTCATAGCTATGTACTTCTTCATGTCGCTTGAGATTCCTGGTTGAGGCCAAAATAATGGTTTCTATTATGTAGAGACTGATAACACAGTAAGTAGTTCGTTGTCTTTAAAGAAACCCCTAGAACTTAAAACAAGTTCATTAGAACTTAAAGTAGTTCATTTGGTTTTCTGATTTCTTCAAGGATTTGGTACTAAACCTTGAAATTTCTTCTTTGACCACCGGGGTTCAACATTCCCTGTGAAGCACTTTGTTATTAACAAACCATGTTGCCTGGAGAATGTGTCTAAGAACTTTAGATTTGAATCTTGAGTTCCAGATTTAATTAAATGGATATTCTCCAAAGATAGATAGGTACCGTAGGTCCACACTGGTTCCAGAATAATGTTGAATAACAGCAATTTATGTTCTGTTGTTGATTTTGAACTTTTATTTAGGCTATTAGCCAAGAAAGAGTTCTAAATTTAAAATTAAACAAAAGTCTCTTATTCCAAATATGGCTTTTCCAAGTAAGTCTTCTGTCAAGGATCATGCCCAAGTATTTAACTTCATTGCTTTTTGGGATTTGAACATTATTTAGGGTTACTGGAGGACACGTGTCTAATCTTGATGTAAAGGTTGTATGGACAGATTCACTCTCATTTAGGCCTACAAATGTTATTTTTTTTTATTTTGACCCTATACATCTGGTTTCATCCCAGAGGGTGCAGTTTCTTAACTGCTACCCTTCTATCGAATGAAAATATCGACTAGGCCTACCAATTATATTGATTACTTAAAGTAATTGACTAAGTTACAGCAAGTTTGGTTATATTTTCATTATTTTCATATTAATGACATTATATTAATATCATATTAATAATCATATTAATTACATTATTTTCGATATTTTCATTCGATAGTAGGGTAGACCAGACAAGAAACTGTACCCTTGTACTAAGTAGACAGTTTTTAATACATTAAGTTAAAAAAAATCTACTTTACGTCAAACAGCCATTGCCTCCATGTCATTATAATTTCCTCATCTTATGGTATTCTTTTCCCTAACATTGTTATATGTTTTGTTTCAGTAAGTCAATGTCTGAAGTTGATATGGATGGTGAGCAAGGCAATGAAAAACGAGTTCTAGCAAGATTTAAATCTGAAACTGGAGATGTTGTTGGAAATCTATTAGACTTACCCTTATATGTAAATGTAGAACATTTAACTTTGATATGCAACAGTCTCTTACAACAGGTAAAGACTTACCTACTACTTGATCCTTGTCCATCCTACCACTTGCTCTCAACAATATTCTTTATTGTTAATTATAGGCTAAACCCTCAGTTTTAATTAGAGATGTTGGTGGGTTAAAAGTTAGAAAGATGGTTGAACCACTTGGCTGATTTGTAAATTTCAAATTTTTTTACCCCTACTAACTTAATTACAATACATGCATGAGATTATACTACCTAATTTACAAAACTCTTAATACTGTACCCATAGCTTAGTTTTAGATAGTAAAATATTTATTGGGTTACTAAAAGAGTGAAGTAGACCTATCATGCAAGGATCAGATAATGTAGGCCTACTCCTTGTAAAAAAGAGTATTTAGATCATCTTAATGAGTCTAATACTATACATTGATCATGGGTAAGGTCAAGGCGCAGGGGCCTATTACTCTGAGTAATTGTAATCAGTGACAGCTTGATGGTCTTGATGGTGGATTTCAATGTTTGGGAGATAATCGTTTGGTAAATTGGCTAGTAATATAAAATTAAGTGTAATTGTAAAAGGTAGAGGCCGGTGTATTAAAAGAATTTTAACACTCCTTGCAGAATTGTAGTTTGCACCGAAGAAGTGTTGCTGCAACACATCCGAAACAACAAATTATAGTTTTTCAACTTCAACAACATTGTCATCTCCCAATAGATCAAGATTTTACAGTAGTAGTCAAATGAGACTTAAAGAACAGATCCATCCAACAAATTTAAACATTCTTGCCACCAAGTCCGATTGTAAAAATTTGTAATAGGTTATCTAAACAACAGGTTTTTGGTACCTTTGTCCGTCTTCAGTCTTATAAACATAGTCTGGGGATTACTAGTTTATGGTCATAAGACACATTATCAAATCAAACTTTAAATTAGTAGGTAGGCCTACTTGAAATCCGACAGAAGTCTTCATCAATAAATAAACACAGTGGTAGAACATTAAGGCTATGGTAGATTTGCTATACTCTAGCATACCGTATTAATTAAAAGAACCAAATTTTCTTAAACCGTGTCCTCTCCCATAACTGCAACAAGCATTTTATACTCATATGCCAACCCCGTATGAAGGTCGGGTACTGTGCTAGTAGGGAATAAAACTAACATGGTTAATATTAAAACCTTATCTAAAAAACTGTGATATTTTCTAAGGATGTGATATTTTGTGAACAGGAAGAGAATACAGTTTATGCATTTTATGTGGATGACAAGGAGATAACAAAGTCCTTAGACAATGTTTTGGATTTGAAAAGTTTGAACACAGAAAATGTGGTGGACATTGTTTATCAGCAACAAGCAGTCTTCAAGGTTCGAGCTGTCACAAGATGTACTAGGTAAGTCATCTTGTAACTGTGCAAACATTGTCTCTAAGTAAATAGGTGTTGAAGGAATTATCATAGAAGTACCTATACTTTTTGATGATATTTTAAAGAATTGTTAAAAGTTGTGTACACATACTAGTAGTCACAAAATCTTTCTTCAAATTTGGCAAGGGCTATGTTTTATGAAATATTTTTGGATGGGTTCGTTAGCCAAACATATCAGTTTACTCAAATCTCATTTCAGCGAATTTCCCATATAGAGAATAATAATAAAACTAATAATAACAGGGGGTAATAAGCTATTACCATAGGTCTCATGGTAAGACCTGAACCCGAAACCGATTTAATTTTTTGTTTTGATGTCCCCAGAGGCCAAAAAACACCATCCTTTCAAATTCATATTTCTCTCTAGGTAGATCATTTTGAAGAGTTTAATAAAACAAATGTAGTATATTTAAGCGTTTTTGTAGAGTTATTGGTTACAGAGAAATCTAAAAAAAAATTTAATTTAAAATTCCCACATTATTCTTATGGAGAATAAGTAAACTCTTGTAGTTTGATTGTTTATGGATGTGTTTTGATCAAACTTGGCAAATCTATTTATTTTTTACTTAGCTATTAATGTTTATTAAAAAAAAGCACAATTTATAACCCTCCCTGTAGCAGCAGTAGTACTCGTTTAACCTAATGATATTGAAATAGATTTAATTGAAAATCAAATCCGGCAAATGGAAGTTTGCTTAGTCTGCAGGTTGCTGCGGTGGGGGTATTTATATTTTGGTACAGTAGACTCCCTCTAGTTCGGCCATCTCGGGACCGGATCACCGGACGAACTATAAAATGGCCGGACTAACCGGATGTATTATGAAAGGTTAAAATAACTCCATCAAATTAATTACCAATGCTTAAAAATCAACAAATAACACTATTTTAATATTCTTTTACAACATTACTTATCCTACCAAAATTAAGTTTTGATATTTCTTTTTGAATTGCCTTGTTTTTTCCTCTTATAGATACGTTTTTGCATCACTGGTGTAAAGAAAAATAAAAAATCCTGACTCCTGACTTATATATTTAAATATCTTACTAATATTATAAATGTGAGAGTTTGTGCGTTTGTTTGAAGTTCAATCATGCATTAACTACTGGACGGATTGGGGTGAAATTTGGCGCGATGATAGACCACATTCCCGATTAACATATAGGCATATTCTTATCTCAAAAATCCTTTCGGGCTCCGCCCCAGTGGCTCTGTAGTTTCCCATGTTAACCATATGAGTAATCTTATTTAATGGGAATTAAAGAATTTTGTCAGCTGTTTCAACTAAAAAAGTTGGTTCTATGATATGCAAAGGATTAAAAAGTTATAAGATTTACCAACAGGGTGCAGCACTATTTTTTTCATTTATGGAAACAGCTAATTTGAACTAAGCTGCAACAAAAAGCTGTGATACACAATGAGAACCGTCAAAGTAGGATTGTTTACAGTTGTTTATGTTTTTAATTTAATGAATGATTTGTGATATTTTGTGAATTTGTAATAATTAATTTTTCTCTATTGTTTAGGTGAAGTGGTAGAACATTATGGCTATGGTAGATGTGTAATACTATGTATACCGTAAATTTAAAGAAGCAAATTTTATCAATCCGTGTCCCCATTGATAACGCAAAGCTTGAGTATAACTGCAATAAGCATTTTATTCCTATATGCCAACCCCGTACGAAGGACGGGTACTCTGCTAGTGTATTTAAATATATATTACTCTCCTTGCAATACTCTCAACAATTAATTCTTTACAAATCTTGGTTGCCCCTGGGTTGGAAGAACTTGGAAAACAAAAATATAAAACAGAGCGTTTGGCAGTGGAAGCTTGATGTTAAGTAAAATTGAGTGGGCCCTGCAAAATAAAATTATTCTCAGAGATCCTTAGGGGACGTCCCTGATACTGTTTGTAGTTCTTCCAAAGCTGAAAAAAATAAATCTTAAGAATACACTGAATTTACTTTGCTCACTACCACACTAAATTTAGTGTTGCACTTCAATGTGAATCTTTTGTAGTGGCCTTTTATTTACTGTATTTCACCAAAGCTCTTTTGAATGATTTTACTATTAATAATGAATTACCAAAGGTTATTGAGAACTAAAGAGTGAATAACAATTTGATTTATTGAACAGAATTACAAGAGATGACAACCGATGTGAAGTGGTCTAGCCATATTCAATATTTAAACAGTAAAATTAGAAAATATATTTATGCTATCGGTCAGCTGAATTAGATTCTAAATGAAAGTGAAATGAAATTAATGTATTATGCTTTTGTTCAATCACTTTTATCCTTCGGAATCATAAGCTGGGGGGGTTGTTCTAAAAGTATTTTAGAGCCATTAAACATAACACAAAAGTTAATATTAAAAATTGGTTTTGGGAAGTGCAGGCGTTACCCATCTGACACTCTCTTTAAGGATGTGTCAGTTTTAACAATCAGACAACTTTTCATAAAAAATGTTTTAAGTCATATTTTTAAAAATTATACCAACATTTTCTCTATAATTTCCCATACACAAAATACTAGATATTCTACCCGAATTGGAATTACATCACTACAACTGTACAAATCCTTTTCATCGACCAACTCATTTTATATTGTACACGTCCTATTTCGTAACTTACAAAACTATTTTCAAAGTGTTAATCTCTTTGACTCTCCCACTTTAAACAGATTCAAACGCCTTGTCAATGAGTGGTTACTTGGTCTAGGCAGGGACGAGGCTGAGCTTATCGTCACAGCTGATTACAGACACAGACGCTCCTGACACAACATGCGACCTGACCATTGTACCCTGACTCGTATCCGCCGCCCACTTCTCCCCTCTAGACACACTATCAAAGCCGTAGAATTCCTGTCACTATTACAGTTCAATTATTTTTATTTAAACTTTTGTTCTTGTAACTCCATATACATCATATTTTCACCTCATCATATCTTCTGTCATTTATTTATTGCATTTGATTATTAATGTTTATGTTTTGACGCAACTACAGTCGACGCACAGGCTCGCTGCCCATGTCGGCTTATTCCATATAAACATGTACGCTTTTTTAAACATAGATGTAATGTAAAGGTTAATTTTATTTTATTCTTAAATTCACTTATGTTTTATTCCCTCCTTTAAATATTTGTGTACATATTCTGTATATACTTTGTTGGAATAAATAAATAAATAATTAATTAATTAATTCATTCATTCATTCAGTATATAAGATTGACTATTTACTTTTGACTCTAATAACAATAAAATACATTTCAGGTCTCAAATGCAGAGTGCAACAATCAAAGATCTCTTTTTTTTCAAAAATTGTGAATAAAACCCCTTGAAAGAGAAGTATATGGCGCGGTTACACACTGACTCCGAACATGCCAACTGAGGTGTGATATTTTACTTTATTTTGAGATGACCAGTACTCACAAAATCCTTCGTTGGCCAACGACTTAAAAAGTGAAGATCGTATCTCGTAGTCCAACATGGTTAAACAATATTTCTGTTTGAACGCAGTAAAACGTAGTGAAAGATTGTTTGTTATTTTATACTGTAGCTAAAGAGCACTATGGCGGTACATCTATCATGAAACACACACTACCCCAATTAACACTTCCGTATCGAGTCGAACCTGCAGCCTACCTCAACTTTCAATAATATTTAATTTTTTCCCAAATCAAACAATGGCTGTTGCTTTCTTAATTTTTTTCCCCTAAAACTCAGAAACGAAATTCAATAATGATTGTGAATAATTTTACTAGGCCTACAATAAAATTCTTAAAAAGTAACTCTGAATTACCCTACAAAAACATTTTCACTTATTTATCTTTAATATCGTAAGAATATCACAATTTACTAAATAATACAGATTGATACGCTAAAAATGGATATAAAAATCACAAGTTAGAGCTTGATCCTGGAAACATGTGCTTATATAACAAGATATAACAAAATATAACAGGAAAATTTTACCACATGTGCGACTCACTGAAACCACTTATCTATTACAATAAAAAAACATATATTACTTACAATTTTGGACGTCCAGCAATTATTAAACACTTGAGGATAGGTAGGGAAAAACGTAATTAGGCGAGCTTTCCAAAACGCGATTGAATTGATTTGGTTTCGAACGTGAAATTTTCAATGGCGGATCGTGTTAGCCGGTAAAGTTAATTTATAACACTTGTTTCTCGGGATTGATATTTTCTAACCTCTCGGCAATTATATCCCTGCTGGATATAGGCTTAACGATTTTGACAAAAATAAAATCTGACCGACTAACACCGCGAATGAATTTAATTTGCACGAAACAATTTTTTTACTCGCCTAACCACGGAGAAGGACTGGAAACAACTGGTAGTTACTAGACAAAATGACCTCCGGCTAGATTTTGTATCCCCTCCACTTCTAGTGCGTGATGCATTGTGGTTAACATTCGTCTATTGTTTAATCAGCTGACTAGTTCTTCGCGTCTACTCATATTGATTTGTTGTATTTTACAACAAAATCGGTACACTGGACTGATTCTCCCATATCGAGATGCTCTCGAATGCTTAGTCTTTGTTTGTCACAAACGTGTGTTTTTTTCACTCATTATTTTAGAAGACATTTTTCTAACAGTAGTAGTAAACCCGCATACAGAACTCTAATTTACTCACAGTATTCACCCCCGAAAATAATGTAGATAAATTGTATAGTAAAAAAGAAATACATACAAAATCACAGAAAATACTAGCTGATTGTAATAGTAAATGTAACGAGAGATCGTCCCGTGGTCGAAAACTCAACCAAAAGTATGTATTGTGCAAACTTATATTTTCACAAACCCTATTTTCACCCCACGCTGTAAATAAAACATGTGATTGGAATTTCTTCGATTTGTTTTGATTTTCTGTTTATATTTTGTTATTATTTCGTCACCAACATAGCAACCCATAAGGCCATGTTAATTTTTTAAATTTTAAATTAATTTTTTGTGCTTATTTTTAGCCCATTTTAATTTATGAAGGGATTCTGCTCATCTACAGGAAAATATATTTAATTTGGTACCAACCGCGTGTAATTCGGTCCGGTAGTATGGCCTGGCCAGGATAGCTGCTTTGACTATTAATAAGTCAATGCTAGCTGTCATAACTTAAAGGTTTTTTAGTATATAAGATAGGAGTTATTGAAAACAACATTTACATTAAACTTAATCCTAAATATAAAATTACAAAAAGGGATTGATACTATGTAGTCTAATATTCTAATGATAGTGAGTTGTTGTAAATGAAAACAAAACATAACCTCTCAGAGAATTCATTATATTTTAGTAAAGACCTTTAAAATGTTAGCCTAATAGATGAGTTTTATATGTTTGATAGTATCCTTTGTTTTCCTAGCTCTCCTTCCTCCTAGCTACCTATTTTTTCTTCCCCTTGTTCCCTCCCTTTAAATCGCCCATTTAATTTTTTTTTTCATTTTGAAATTTTAAGCTCCCTATTTCAACATGCTTTTGAAAGCTTGTCAAAGTAATCATGCTAGAAAAACTTTCAAATTAATGTTATTATTAATAGTATGTATGCTTATGATTGATATTTTGTCAGCTCCCTGCCTGGCCATGCAGAAGCTGTAATTTCAGTGAAGTTCAGCCCTGATGGGAGACATCTGGCGTCTGGTTCGGGTGATACAACAGTCAGGTTCTGGGATGTTATGACACAAACTCCTCACCACACTTGTCAAGGTAATAGTGGCTACGTGATGAGAAGAGCGTGGTTTTTTAAGCAAGGGCTGGTTTTGTGTATAAATTTGTAGTTTGCTTGTACGCAGCAACGAGGCTCCTCACCTGTTTAGACTCCTCACAAATTGCAGCTCTGTAGCTGTTATGTACACGTTGCTGTGTGTTTGTATCTCTTGCTGTGTCTGAGGTAAGGTCAGTGATACGTTTTTTGATTACAAGGAAACATCTGATGCTGACATTCATCGCCACATGACTGAACGCTATGGCCCTAATGTAATGAGAGATGGTTAAGTGTGGAAATGGGTTATGGAGTGTAAAAATTGGCCGTGAAATCCTTTTTTCTTTAGTGGTCTTCTGTGAGAAGTCTGGGTACCCAACACAAATACAATTCCATCCTAAATGAATATTTTCATGGCCATTTTATGCTTCCTAGCATATTTCTGCACTTTCCATGTTATTATTGCATAAACTCCAGTCATCTGGCGATGAATGTCAGCATTGGATATGATTCTTGTAACATAAAAACATATCACTGACCTCACCTCAGGCGCAGCGGAAAGATTCAATTGTTAAAAAAAATGTAAAACAGCAAACAGGTAACATGACAACAACAGAGCTGCAATTGGTGTCATTCTGTTCACTAATGATGCCAGTAAGTGATGAGGAGCCTCATTACAGTACAAGCAAACTACGGATTTATCTGTAAAACCAGCCCTTACTTAAAAAAACGGCCTTCATACAGTAGTTATCATACATATCCGAATCATCCATGTCATCCTAGTGGTAGTTATCATTACACATCTGAATCTTCCATGTCATCCTAGTGGTAGTTATCATTACACATCTGAATCTTCCATGTCATCCTAGTGGTAGTTATCATTACACATCTGAATTATCCATGTCATCCATGTAAGTCCATGTCATGGATGTAAGTTAGGTGGAAAATGAAACATTACGTGTAGCATAAATAAATAGCCTACTGTTAAAAAGAAAGAAAAGAGTACTAGGTGAAACCCGTTGAAATCGATGGTTACTCTTGAGGTTTCAGTTAACTGCGATAGATAGAGTGAAGTTATTAAAATCCTAGTTAAATAAAGAGAGGGTAAACATAATTATGACGATTGAGTACCTTACAAAACGTGGTTGATGAATTCGTTGAATACAACATTTCCTATCCTTTCATCGTTAACAGGTCGCCTAAAATGTTTTGAGGAGCCTACATTTATTTCTTGTTCATGTGAAAGCCTCTTTCACCATATGGGAAAAGAAATTGATACAATTGGTCTGTCATCTGGCGGAGGGATTCAATATTACTATAACTGGTTCCATCTGCTTTAGGAAAATCTTTCAGATCGTATCGGTGAATCGTCATCTTTGGCCATAAACAAAAAATAATTTTTAACTGCGGGAGGCAGGTTAAATATTTTTGGTATTTGATAAAAATGTCCTTTAGCAGTAACATTCTTACTTTGACGTGGTCTTCTTTTACGCTATGCATTTTTGATTCCCTCTCTTTCCACGTCGACCATTATCCTGTACTTCTTTGCTAATTGATTAACTTCTGGCATAATTTTGTGAAATCCGTCCATGAGGTTGCTGTCAAACTTGAACTTTATTCACATGCGAGGGTCCATTGCCTTGGTCGTATCGATCACATAAAGTTGTGCCTGTGTTTTGTGGATGGAGTGGACCATATTTGTAGTGAATTTGGCCACTAATCTTGAATATTGAGGGACCACCTGTATGGCTTAGTTTGGCTTTGTTGGAAAAACTATGCAAATGAGATGAGATATGATGGCACTGTTGTATTTCCGAATGTTATGTATTTAGTGAGGTTTAGATACGTTGTTATGGTTCATAAAAAACCCATATAAAGTATAATGAGATCTGATTTCAAGGAGCTTAACATTTTTATCAAGTCAGCTGCCGTTGAAAAAGTTGAGCCAGGAAGGAAAGCCAATTACTCTTGTGCAAAATATCCTCACAGTTAAAGTGCGGTGTTTTACAAAAACCACATTCCAGAGCAAGGCTGTCAAGAGCACATTTCAGGGAGGATTTTCGTGATCGAATGTTGTTCGAACTATAGGAACATAATGAACTTCTTCAGAAGAAGAGACTCTTGGTTTGAAAGCATTTCAAGCCGTATTATGAATATAACGGTCCAAATGTATTTAATTTAAGAATATTTATTATATGGTTTCTGTCCAATATCATTATTAAACCTGGTACAACTATGGGAAACTAATATATATTTCAATAATATTCAAATAGAGTCCAAGAGTGTCAGTTTAATTAGTAGGCTTATATATTATAGTTCAACCTAGCTAGATGTGTACATCAAAGTAAAATCCCTGTATAAATCTTTTAAAATGCAATCTCATAGCTCGATGGCATTTATTTACGAATCTAGCACATTTATCTATGAAAACAAACTTCTAATAAACATCATAAAAATCAAGTCATTTGCTATTAATTTTCCTACTTCACCACGACCATAGATAAACTTACTCCTTCTATAGTCTATGCCAAAACATGAACACACCTCACATCCTCAAGTATACTCCATAGATTTTTGAACAAAAATTTATATTTTATTATAAATTTATCATTTTGTACAAACACTGCAAAATATTAAAAAAAAAACTTGCTGTGGAAAAACAATTTTAAAATCACAAATTTATGTCTAAATTTCATTTTGACAGATTCAGTGAATGTTCATAACACTAGACCTTTGAAATACAAATTTAAATATTAACAGCTGTTACATTGAAAATAAGTGTAAAATTATCCATCTGGTCATAATAAAAACAAATCTGAGGAAGGAACTTTAAAGGCCACTGGGGCAAAGCCTCAAGAGATTCTACCTTTTTTCTCTGTTGTTGGCTCATCTACAAACCAAGACCTTTCTTTAGACACCTCTACCAAGTTTCTACGCCGTGCCGTTTTCTAACAAATTAGTGGAGACAAAAAACCCTTTCTGTCCCCCCAAGATTAACATGGGAAGGGAATTTTAAAATCCGTTTTCTCTTTTGATGGCTCTCCTACAGGTACCAAGACCTTTTTTTTAGACACGTCTACCAAGTTTCTACCCCCAGCCGCTCTCTAAAATTAGTGGAGACAAAGAAAACAGTTTCCAATTAAATATGTAGATAAGTAAATCTATTAACCCAATTGTGTAAAATTTGGTGTAAAGCTGGAAACAAACATGTTGTACATAACAATAACAATCTAAAATTTTTCATCTTGATATTTTTCCCCTGCAGGTCACAGAAACTGGGTCTTGTGTATCGCATGGTCACCCGACTCTAGTCGCCTGGTGTCGGCTTGCAAGAATGGAATGATCCTATGTTGGGACGCAGACTCTGGTAAACAGCTTGGCTCTCCGATGACAGGGCACAAACAGTGGGTCACCGACCTCGTGTGGCAGCCATACCAGGATGGTAAGATGTTAATCTGCATCTCAGTTCATTATTTTCAATGTGATGAATTAATATAGGCTATTCCTAATCTGCTGTGCACTCTTGTTTTTCTCCTTTAGGGCCGGTTTGACCAAAGTAGTTTAAACTTTAGAAACGGATTAGCTTTTAGTTTAACTGGCTCATTGGTTTCTCCACTGTTCTTTAAACCAGCTGGTTTAAACTCAAAGTAGCGTTGAACTCACTTTGTCTGCACTAAAATTACAACATAACCTCAAATTCCTCTGTTGTAGCATTATTATTATTACATTTTAAGGTAAAACTGAGTTTTAGTTAGGGGGAGACTTGCCCCTAACCATTTTAAAGGGATTTCTTCTAAAGTTGATAACAGCTGAATAAGTTTTGCTAATGACTTATTGTGAGTGAAGGAACTGAAGATGGAAGGATTCGTGAATGAAGAAGAGTGAAATTTAAAAAATGTTCATTTAAATTTAATAAACAATTAGTATTTTTGCAACTAAAAAAGTGAAATTTAAAATGTCAATAATAAATTAAAAGATATGTAAAAGATATTTAAGATATAATAATGTAATCAAGGGAGATGGAGGTAAATCATGGTATGTGAAAGTTTTATTCGAAGATTTGGTCAGTTTTTCTCATATCAGCCTACACAAGATTTAAAATTAATCAAAACCAAAATGTGGTATCCACTTAAACGTTTCTATTAAGGCCATAAAAGTTGAATTTTGTTTCTAAAAGCGTGGGCGGATGTGTAACTATTATATGCAACAGATGTAAAGATTAAAATGTTTCTATTTTGTGTCCTCTTCCCATTGCAAAGCACGGGTACAACAGCTAGTATATATATGAATTTGAACGAATAGTGTTTTTGCCTCTGGGGACATCAAAATGAAAAAGTAAATCGGTCCCGGGCCTAGGTCTTACCATGCCACCTACGGTAATAGCTACTTCCCTATAGGGAAATTCGTTTAAAGTACATGGGGAGGTGGTCAATGTTAAGGTGGCTATGTTCAAAACAACAAAAAATCTATGAATTTAACTGTATCGAAAATTGGTATTTGGGGTTTATAACAACGTATTTGTGTGAGAGGGCATCCTCCAGTTTGTTTATTTGAAAATTAAACCCAGAAATAGGCTTTGTATTAGGGATGGACGGGATTGAATTTTTGGTTCGGGACGGGACAGGACGGGATTTTTATTTCCTTCCCCATTTTCGAACGGGACGGGATTTTTTCCGGTACATTTAAAGAAAGTCTTCAGTTTTGCAGTTACCAAAAAAGAAAAACAAAATCAATTTGTGGCACTGATCTACAAAAACAAACAAAAATGGTATAAATTTACAGGTATAGAAACTTGTGACTTGCGGTCGAAATGACTCGCGGTCACGGGGTGATCGTCGTTATGACTCCGCGGTCACAGCGCGATCATCGGTATGACTCCGCGGTCATGGCGCGATCGTCGGTATAATTCCACGGTCTCGGCGCGATCGTCAGTATGACTCGCGGTCTCGGCGTGATCGTCGGTATGACTCCGCGGTCACGGCACGATCGTCGTTATGACTTCGTGGTCATGGCGTGATTGTCGGTATGACTTCGCGACCATGGCGCTATCGTCAGTATGACTCGCGATCTCAGTGGGATCGTCGGTATAACTCCACGGTCTCGGCGCGATCGTCAGTATGACTCGCGGTCTAGGCGTGATCGTCGGTATGATTTTGTGGTCATGGCGTGATCATCGGTATAACTTGCGGTCACGGCATAATCGTCGGTATGACTTCATTATGACTCCCCGGTCACAGCGCGATCGTCAGTATGACTCGCGGTCTCGGTGTGATCGTCGGTATGACTCCACGGTCACGGCATGATCGTCGGTACGATTTCGTGGTCATGGCGTGATTGTCGGTATGACTCACGGTCACTGCATAATCGTCGGTATGACTTCGTGACCATGGCGCGATCGTTGTTATGACTCTCCGGTCACGGCGTTGATCGTCAGTATGACTCGCGGTCTCGGCGGTATCGTCGGTGTGACTCCACATTCACGGCATGATCGTCGGTATGAATTCGCGGTAATGGCGCGATCGTCGGTATAACTCCACCGTCACGGTGTGATCGTCGGTATGACTCCGACTTCGCGGTCATGGGGTGATCGTCGGTATGACTCGCGGTCTCGGCGGGATCGTCGGTATGACTCGCTGTCACGGCACGATCGTCGAAATGACTTCGCCTCCTGCGTTCGCGGAACTATTGTGAACATCTGTCACGATATCGGCGTCGTCGTCACTCGCGAAGCGGCAAAATCCCAACGATTGGATCAAATCCCGTCCCAAAAAATTCCCGAATCAAATGTAATCCCGTCCCAAAAATCAGGAATATTTTTTTCCTGAAAATTTCCCGAAATTTCGGGACCCGTCCATCCCTACTTTGTATAAGGCAAAGTCAAAATAAACTTTATTCGTATAAATACATTGCAGTATCAGAATAGAGTAACATATAACTAAAAATCACAACCTTCATGCTATATAGCTAAATTACAATATATTTAAAACTATATATACTCGTAAAACCCAGGCAACCAGTAGTGGAGCCCTCACTTAAGGAAACTCTGAAAAAGAATAGAGAGGTTTATTAACAAGATATTCTTTCAGCAAGCTTTTAAATTTATTGGAATTGTGCTCATTTCTAATTAAATTTGGCAACTGAGTAAAAAATTTGGTGCCCATATATTTAATTTTGTTTTTATAAAAATTCAGATTATGTTTATCTATTCTATATATAATTCAGTTTTAAAAATCTTTGTACAACTAAATCTAGAGTTCTACTGGACCGATTTTATTAATTAATGGGTTGTTGGAAAGCTTAAGTCGTGTAGATTTGCAAATAATTATGAAAGTTTGTTTTTGTTATGATTTATGGTAAAAATTTCAAAAAAACATGTTTTCCATAAGAAATACATTGAAAACTGTGTTTTTCACACTTTCTATTTGGGTGCGACTTTTAGCTGCCTTTTTTTAGTGTTTCCAAGAAGTGTATGGTATCAATTTGTAGGAAATTTTATTCTCTTTCAGAATATCACCTTCCACTTTGGTCGATTTCCTCACCATTTAAAAGTTATTTGCAAAAAAGCTAAGCAACCTCCGAATTTATAATAATGAAAAAATATTGAGTTTGGGATATTTTGTTAAACTTTGTACAACTAAATCTAGACTTCTTCTACTGGACCGATTTTGTTAATTAATGGGTCATTAAAAAGCCTAACTCATGTAGATTTGCAAATAATTATAAAATTGTGATTTTATTAAATATTTGTGGTGAAAAAGTAAAAATACAAAAATACATCAAAAACTGTTTTTTTCAAGTTTATGTTTTCAAAGATTCTATTTGTAGCCAGCTTTTGGCTGCCTTTATTAAGTATTTTCAAGAAATGCATGGTAGTTATTTGTAGTAAATTTTATTCTCTTTCAGAATATCACATTCACTTTGGTCGATTTCCTCTCCATTTAAAAGATATTGGCAATAAACAAAGTGATCTCCAAATTTATAGTGGTGAGAAAATACTGAATTAGATATATTTTTGTTAAACTTTGTACAAGTTTACTTGAACTAAACCTAGACTTCTACCGGACCGATTTTGTTACTTAATAGGTTGTTGGAAAGCCTAATTTGTGTAGATTTGCAAATAATTATGAAAGTTTGATTTTATTAGATATTTGAGGTGAAAAAAATAAAAATAATAAATTTAAAACTCTTTTTTTCCAAGTTTATATTTCCAATTTTATATTTGTAGCCAACTTTAGGCTGCCTTTATTGAGTATTTTCAAGAAATACATAATAGTAATTTGTAGGAAATTTTATTCTCTTTCAGAATATCACCTTCCACTTTGGTCGATTTCCTCGCCATTTCAAAGTTATTTGCAAAAACGTTAAGCAACCTCCAAATTTATAGTAGTGAGAAAATGCTGAATTAAAGATGTTGTTGTTAAGCTTTGTACAATTAAATCTACAGTTCTACTGAACCGATTTTATTAATTAATACGTCATTGGATAGCCTAATTTGTGAAGATTTGCAAAATAATTATGAAAGTACTGTTGAGGTTGCAAGCAAGATCGTTTGGCTATAAATCGATGATAAATATTTTTTGAACAATTTGTGTTGGTCGTGATTTAGCTGCGTGCTTTAATGAAATGGAGCTGGCATTTCAATGAAGGTTCTTAGTTCAAAACAAATAGAATAACGTAATCAGAATTAAGTAAATATATCTATAAAACTAAATTCCATATCCAAGATATAATCAAACTAATATTTTCTGATTGAGCAATACAGTATCTTGAACTTAACTGATTAAAACTATCAATATCTCAAGTGAAAGGTTTTGAAGTATTTTAAGACCAAGACATATCAAATAACTTAAATAAAAATAGAGTATCTATAAAACTAAATTCCATATCCAAGATATAATCAAACTAATATTTTCTGATTGAGCAATACAGTATCTTGAACTTAACTGATTAAAACTATCAATATCTCAAGTGAAAGGTTTTGAAGTATTTTAAGACCAAGACATATCAAATAACTTAAATAAAAATAGAGTTATGTATCATTGATTGCAGACAGGTACTAAAACGATTGTAATTATTGTCGATTCGTGATTCAGCAGTGTGCTTTAGGTAGTCCGATCTTAATAATCAATAGCTCAAATGAAAGCTGGTATTTCACGTTAGGTTTTTAGACCAAAATGTATAATGCAATTAGAACTGCTGGAATACATCTTTAATTGAAGTGAAAAAAATTCTTTCGTCGAGTAATAGATTAGATAAATTAATGATGATGCTTGATGACAAATATGTGCTTGCATAGCTTTATTTTTGCATAGCTTTATTTTAAGACCAAAATTATGAAGATCGGGCGGGTAGAAGAACCCTCCTGTAAACCATTGCCCGCCTGCGAAACATTAAACTCGAAAAAAACCAAATTTAACTCCCATAAGAAATGTACAGGGAGGC